ACCAGGCTGGAGTGCGGTGGTGCAATCTCGGCTCACTGCAACCTCCAACTCCCACGTTCAAGCAATTCTCCTGCCTCAATCTCCCGAGAAGCTGGGACTACAAGCACACACCACCACACCCAGCTAATTTTTGTATTTTTAGTAGAGACTTGCTTTTCATCATGTTGGCCAGGATGGTCTCGATCTCCTGACCTTGTGATCCGCCTACCTTGGCCTCCCAAAGTGCTAGGATTACAGGCGTGAGCCACCGCACCCAGCCATAAACTTCCTTTTAGGGTGAAATGTTGGTAACCCAAGATTACCAAATGAAAGCAGAAATGTACTTTAATAAATAGCTTTGATACAAGTGGTCAGTATAATCAAGCTACTTTATAATACACATCAACAAAAAGTTATTTTTCCACATTACGCACCCAGCAATCTTTATGGTTTACTAGATTTTTATTTTTCCTGTTGTCTGAAAATTTTAAATGCCTCAGCAACACTGCATTTAATAAGCAAAGACAGTACTTAAGAAGTACTAGTATTTGAAACTAAAGGCAATCTTTTCTGGATTAACTCTTACCTATGTATGAAAATACTCCATTCTCTCTCCGACTAGCCAGGAATGAGGTTTTTTGAGGTGTGGTGGGGGTACAGGGAAGGTCTTATGAGAATGTAATAATCAGTAACAATGAATGCCTTTATTATACTTAGACAACCACACTTAATTTTATGAAATTACCATACAACTTCTTAAGATTTACCTATTTCCTTTTACAAATGAACATGTTCTAGATGCAGAAATCCTCAAAACAATACTAGCAAACCAAATTCAACAGCACATCAAAAACTTAATTCACCATGATCAAGTACACTCCATTCCTGGGATGCAAGATTGGTTCAACATATGTAAATCAATAAGTGTGATTCACCACATAAGCAGAATTAAAGACAAAAACCATATTGATTATCTCAACAGACATGGAAAAGCTGTTGGTAAAATCCAACATCCCTTCATAATAAAGGCCGTCAAGACACTAGGCATCAAAAGAACATACATCAAAATAATAAGAGCCATCTATGACAAACTCACAGCCAACATTATACTGAACAGGCAAAAACTGGAGGCATTCCTCTTCAGAAATGGAACAAGATAAGGATGCCCACTCTTAACCACTCCTATTCAACACAGTATTGAAAGTTCAAGCCAGAGCAATAAGGCAAGAGAAAGAAATAAAAGCAGCATACAAATAGGAAAAGAAGTCAAACTGTTTCAGGATACAAAATCAATGTACAAAAATCAATACCATTTCTATACACCAATAACATTCAAGCTGAGTGGCAAATCAAGAAGACAAAGCTGGGTGTGGTGGCTCACGCCTGTAATCCCAGCACTTTGGGAGGCCGAGGCGGGCGGATCACGAGGTCAGGAGATCAAGACCATCCTGGCTAACATGGTGAGACCCCGTCTCTACTAAAAATACAAAAAATTAGCCGGGTGTGTTGGCGGGTGCCTGTAGTCCCAGCTACTTGGGAGGCTGAGGCAGGAAACTGGCGTGAACCCGGGAGGCGGAGCTTGCAGTGAGCTGAGATAGCGCCACTGCACTCCAGCCTGGGCGACAGAGACTCCGTCTGAATAACAACAACAACAACAAAAAAACACAATCCTGTTTACAGTAGACACATGCACACCCCTAGGAATACATTTAACCAAGGAGGTGAAAGATCTCTTCAAGGAAACTATAAAATTGCTAAAAGAAATCATAGATGACACAAACAAATGGAAAAACAGTCCGTGCTCATGGATTGGAAGAGTCAATATCATTAAAATGGCCATACTACCCAAAGCAATCTACAGATTCAATGCTTTTCCTACCAAACTACTGACACCATTTTTCACAGTATTAGAATAAACTATTCTAAAATTCATATGGAATCAAAAAAGAGCCTGAATAGCCAAAGTAATGATAAGCAAAATGAAGAAGGCCAGAGGCATCTGAAACTATAAGACTACAGTAACCAAAACAGCATGATACTGGTATAGAAACAGAAATAGACCAATGAACACAATAGAGAACCTGCAAATAAAGCCACATACCTACAACCACGTGATCACTGAAAAAGTCAACAAAAACAAGTAATGGGGAAAGGACTCCTATTCAATAAATGGTGCTGGGCCAGCTAGCTAGCCTATATGCAGGAGAATGAAACTGGATAGCTACCTTTCAGCATATAAAAAAATTAACTGAAGATGGATTAAAGATTTAAATGTAAGACCTCAAACTATAAGAATCCTAGAAAAAAACCTAGGAAACACCATTCTAGACCTCAGCCTTGAGAAAGACACCAGTAGCAATTACAATAAAAGCAAAAATTGACAAGCAGGACCCAATTAAAGAGCTTCTGCAGAGCAAAAGAAACTATCAACAAAGTAAACAGACAACCAATAAAATGGGAGAAAATACTTGCAAACTATGCATGTGACAAAGGTCTACTATCCAGAATCTATAAGGAACTTAAAACAACTGAACAAGTAAAAAACGACCCCATTAGAAAATGGGCAAAAGACATGAACAGACGTTTCTCAAAACAAGACATACAAGAGGCCAACGAACATATAAAAAAACTATCAGGGAAATGCAAATCAAAATCACAATGAGATACTATCTCACACCAGTCACAATGGCCATTTAAAAAGTCAAACAACAGACATTGGTGAGGCTACAGAGAAAGTAAATGCTTATATACTGTTGGTAGGAATGTATATTATTTCAGCCACTGTGGAAAGCAGTTTGGCAATTTCTCAAAGCACTCAGAAGTACCATTCTACCCCGCAATCTCATTACTGGGTACATATCCAAAAGAAAACAAATTGTTCTACCAAAAAGACACATGTACTCACGTGTTCATTGTAGCACTACTCACAACAGCAGACACTGAATCAACCTAGATGTCCATCAACAGATTAAAGAAAATGTAGTACATATATACCATGGAATAGTATACAATCATAAAAAAGAATGAAATCATGTCCTTTGCAGCAACATAGAGCAGCTAGACACCATTATCCTAAGCAAATTAATACAGGAATGGAAAACCAAATACCACATGTTCTCACTTATAAGTAAGAGCTAAACACTGGGCACTCATGGACATAAAGATGGCAACAATAAACACTGGGACTACTAGTAGGGGGAGGGAGGAGAGAGGATAAGTACTGATAAACTGTTGGGTACTATGCTGAATACCTGGGTGATGAAATCATTGATACCCCAAACCTCAGCATCACACAATAAAACCAGGTAACAAACCTGCACAAGTATCCCCTAAATCTAAAATAAAAGTTGAGGCTGGGTATGGTGGCTCACTCCTGTAATCCCAGCACTTTGGGAGACTGAGGTGGACAGATCACCTGAGGTTAGGAGTTCGAGACCAGCCTAGTCAACATGGCTAAACCCTGTCTCCACTAAAAATACAAAAATTAGCCAGGCATGGTGGTGGGTGCCTGTAATCCCAGCTACTTGGGAGGCTGAGGCAGGATAATCGCTTAAGCCCAGGAGGCAGAGGTTGTGGTGAGCCGAGATCATGCCACTGCACTCCAGCCTGGGCAACAGAGCAAGACTCCATCTCAAAAAATAAAATAAAAAATAAAAGTTGAAAAAAAATTTTAAAAGACATATGTTGAACAACCTGCTGGACTAAAATGCTGTGGTCATACTTCAAAAGTTTACTTATAGTGCTTTTACTTTACCTAATATAAAACAAAACATCTTTTGTTCTTATTATAGAAATTGGTACACATTAAATGCAAAACTCAGACACATTTAACCTGTTAACAAGGTATTTAACAGTTTTTCTAAAATAAAGTCACATAAAAACATTTCCTTTGGATAAGCCTGGGCACTGTGGCTCACACCTGTAATCCCGGCACTTTGGGAGGCCAAGGCGGGTGGATCACCTGACATCAGGAGTTCGTAACCAACCTGGCCAACATGGCGAAACTCCATCTCTACTAAAAATACAAAAATGTAGCTGGGCCTGGTGGTGGGAGCCAGTCCCTGCTACTCAGGAGGCTGAGGCAGGAGAATTGCTTAAATCTGGGAGGCGGAGATTGCAGTGAGCCAAGATTACGCCATTGCACTTCAGCGTGGGCCATGAGAACAAAACCTCGTCCCCCCACAAAAAATTATAATTATGATCAAGTGTCATTACATATAACAGTATCAGAACACTTGTACTCAGCATGGAGACATATGCCCTCAGAAAACCCTGAACTCCTAAGTTGGAATTGCAAATAGACCTCTGTCCCTTTGAATGCCCTATCCTTATCCTTGCTTTTCTCTACTTAATGTAAATTGGCATTTCTTATTTTACTGTCCACTGCTAAGCTCAAATGTGAGTCTATGAGAGTAGAAATTTTTGGTTCCCGATGTACCCCCAATGCCTAGAACAAAGTGGCACATAAAAGTACTCCAAATATATTTGTGAATGAATGAATGAGCGTATGAACACTAAACTGGAAAATTCAATTTCATGTACTATATCCAGTCAACTATTTAAAAGCTCGCATTTCCTACTTCTTCTAGTGGATGAGTCTCTTTTTATTATTCCATTATTTTATGAGGGAACATTCTATGTAAAAGGTACATAAAGGTTCAGCGTAAGTTCGCATAAAATGGGGGTTGTATTTTGTCGAATGGAAGAATTACATCTGCCTAATCCAGAGATGCATCAGCAAAAATACACAAGTGAAGTGTTCCATAGTGTGTTTGATCATGTCTCAACATGTCTTAAGCAACATAGGAAACAACCCCCCAATATAATACATCAATTAAAATAACAGTATGTTTCTCAGATTCTTTTACGATGTAGAAATCTGAAAATCTTACTAGGTTCTAACAGAAACAGAGTACAGAGCCTGTGTGCTTGTTATTAACAACCTATCCCAGTTACCTAAAACAATGCTCAATAAATAGCTGCTGAATGAATAAAATTAATCAAAATTATTATCTTACCAGAGATTCTAGTTCTCCCAAAGTACGACTGCTGCTCAGCCATTTCCTGCATTCTGCTGTGCCTACCGTGGAGACCTCATGGACAGTTTGTTTCCTAAGCTCAGCAGGTAACGCCTGGAAGGAAATATGCTGCCAGAGAGGCAGATTTTCTGCTTCTTTTGGGGAAAATTTATGGATAAACTCCAGCTGAAATAAATTGTTAAAGAAAGAAGAGTATTATGAGACAAGTCAGAGGAATGGATACACAAAAGCTAAGTATTTGTTTCCACATTTAATATTTCAAGAAAGCTTTTTAATAGTACCGTAATATCTATGTTCCAGACCAAGGTAACATAAATGAACATACCTTATTATTATTGTTGTCGACACTGCACTGGTTTCCAAAACAAAAACACGGCTTAAGTGGAGCACGATATAAATGCACTAAGCCATTAAATAATGTATTTCATTATTAGTTATGTCAGGTATCTTATCATGCTCCTACTTACCAATAAGTCTTATTTTTCTGTATACTCCTCACCTTGTAGTTAAGTCAAAAGTAACATTCCAAATATACAAACTGGATTTAGTCAACCTTCATAGCTTACTATTATCTCACTTGATTCATAGCAGAGAACTTAAAGAAGCAAAGATTCAGCTTTAAACAGTTAGCTGGTTCTGCCCTACTTTAGACAACACACTAAATCAGTTTCACAAAGGTAAGCCACAAATCAAAAAGAATGTGGTTGGCAAATCCATTCCACCACTGAAATAACAATTCAAAGTGCTTACTAGGTTAACAGAAAAGTACTGTTTTGTTAAAATGCAGATGTTACAGACTAGATACAAATGGAAAACAAGAGTTCTAAGAAACAGTTTAAATGATGAATCAGTTTTTGGTGGAAAAATGGTAAAACCAATGGTGCATTTAATGATTAAAATAAGTATAATCCAACTAGGAAGTATATTAGTGTATTTTCTAAGAAGTAGAATAATTCAATTTAAAATATTCAAAATCTACTTGATGAAAACTTTTCCTACACCAAAAACTAAAAACCCACCAAAAAAAATTAAATCTGACAGAGAAACTTTTCTCTGTCATATATAGTATATAGTCATATACTATATTTGTATTTCAATTTTACTTCTTTTGTGGAAAATATTTACCTGTCAATACAAGCTAGAAATTATGTGGCTATATGCTGTGACAGAGGCTACAGCCAGAAAAACAGATCCCTTGATGAGCGAGTGTCTATTATAAAAAGCAGCTTTATTCATAAAAGCAAACTACATCAGGAAAGCCAAGAGAACTGTGCCAACTGGTAAGCATCAGTTCAAGTATCACCTTTCTTTAAAATAAAGTCCAGTAAGTGAGTGAACTACTTCCCTTTCCAAAATAGAAACTAAAAATATAATGTCCTGGACGACATAAAAGGGTAGGTACTGCCAAAATTTGTTACAGAAAGAGTTCAAGATTCTATTCTGAGGTTGAAAACCCTGGTTTCAACACAATTCTAAAGACTTAAAACTGCTATGACAAAATAGTTCATAGAAGACTAAAGTATAAGGGAATAATACACAGAGAATTATGATTTCCCTTCTTAAAATTGGAAAGAGAAAAAATACACTTTTGGGTTTAAAATGTAAATGCAGTAATTTTTACTTTACATTAAAAAGACAGTACAAACTATCAGTGTGCTTAGATAAGGCATATTAAATACTTTTCCCTCAAGCAGGTAACCTCCTTGTATTTTTGCTTTTCTTGATAAAATGGAATACTATTAATAGTTACATACTAAAAGAAATAATGTGATATTCAATAATTACCCCTCATATTAAAACAGTAAATGCATTCTAACATCTATTTCTATCGGCATTTTCTTCCAAATTAGCATCATAGACACTTTTGTTTTTTAAAGTATATTATCACCATACTGGGATTAACTATTTTCATTTATGTTAAGGCTACATCACTAGTAAAAAAAATTTGGGTTCTTATTTTACTATTTAAAAAGACAACATCTTGTATGCAAATAGCTGAATAATTATTTCAAGTTTCATTGCTCGCTTCTCCTTTTTTCTCTAATATGCTTTATTGCCTTTGCTTCTCTAGTCCCACCACCTTCCACATTCATCCTGTAACACGTACCTCAAATGCCATCAACTCCAACTCCTATGTCTACCTGTTCCCATGCTGCACCTCTTCAGAAATGACTGTCTCAGCTACGAACACCCAACAACATTTGATTTGTGCCTCAGTTTTGGCATTCATCACAAACCACTCTTTAATATGAGTATCTTTATAAATTTATAGTTTATACTAGATTTTATGTTCCTTGAGATATCATGAGATAGTGCAGTGGTTTCCAAGCTGTAAAGAGAGTCCTGCTATGTTGTCCAGGCTGGACTTGAACTTTGGGCTAAATAAAACGATCCTCCGATCCTCCTGCCTCAACATCCCAGATCAGCTGTTAGCTGTGAATTTGTGGAAGTTATTTAATTTCCTTGAGCTACTGTTTCTTCATCTGTCAAATGGACACAATATTATCTATCCCACAAGGCTACTGTAAGGATTAAATGAATTAAGTGCCTGGCCTGGTACAGTCTCAAAAATATTATTTCCTGTCCTCCTTCCTTTAAGAGAAAGGATAATGTCTTAAGGGGTTAAAAAAAAAAAAAAAAAAAAAAAGAGCCAAACAGGAGAGGAGACCTAACATTTGTTAAATGGTCTTTTCATGCCATATGTATATTCTCTATCTTATCAAGTTTCTTAACTGCCATATGAGTATTAGTATCTATCTCAATTTTATAATTAACTCTCCTAAAGACTCTCAGAATAGGTATTCAGATTCAGGTTTCTTAAGTTTTATCACAATAACTTGTACATAAAGAAAATCTGCATTTGATAACTGAAGATACAAATTAAAAGTAACCGTTCATTTACCTATAATTTATATATCTGATAGCCTCATTTGGAAAAATTTAGAAAATTGAGAGTAAGAGATCTCCAGGCATAGACTATAATTTATCTAATTTAGAAAACTGCTTCTAGACCTCATAGCTAATTCATTCTGAGTTATATTATTTTAAAAGTTAAAATTTTCACAACCACTTTGGGAAAATAATTTTATTCCTGTTGTATAAATAAGAAAATTGAGGTTAAAAGGAAAGTGACGGCTGAGCTCAATGGCTCACACCTCTAATCCCAGCACTTTGGGACGCCAAGGCAGGAGGATCATTTGAGTTCAAGTTTGAGACCAGCCTGGGCAACATAACCCTGTGTCTAAAAAAAAAGGAAAGTGATTTTCTTAAAGTCTTATGACATGTGACCCTTTCCCTCCCAGTCCCACTTCTTCTAAGAGATCTGGAGTAGAAAATTCTTTTGGAAGCAAGCAAGCTTCCCATGCTCTTAGAGGGCTAATAGGTGGGGCTACCTTTAAGAAAAAGAAGGCCAAGAGGTAGTTGTAGTACCTCTGGTTCCTGACCAACCACTCTAGGGCAGGAACAGACTTGGACTTGGGGCAAAAACCCTAGTCAGAAATAACTCCTAGCATTTACTGAGCAACCTCTTAAACCTAGCACTATGCTGTTTTCCATGTATTAGTTCCAAGTCTTTACAAACTTTTTCAAAACAGTTAAACATATCTTCTGTTTTGCAGACAAGGAAAATGAAGTTCAGAAAGGATGACTTGCCCAAGGTCACGGTATGCCAGGATTCACAGCGAGGACCACAGGACCTTAAATTCTAATCCCCTTCACTAATCTAGTGGTTCCCAAGCTTGGATCCAAGTCTGACTCACATAAGAACTTAATGATAGTACCAACAAAAACCAATTATTGAGCCTTACTTCATACCCATGCCTCCATACCCACCCATCCACAGATTAGAGTCCAGGAACTTATATTTTTAAAAGAGCTCATACAAGAGTTCCGATGTGACCAGCCTGAGGGACTGCACTAGGCCATACAGGTTTATGTAAGTAAAGACCATTAAGAACAAAAATAATATTCTAGCTTTTCAAAATAAAAAGGGCAGGGGATATAGAACCATTTCATTTCATGTATCTCAAATATATATGAAAAATAAGGGGAAAGATCTATTTCAGGAAGATGGAATTAGAATAATTATTATAACTTGAAGCAAGGACATCAAAATCTATACCCAGCTGAAAGCAATAAACAAAGCAATCAACATGTCAAAAATTTACACTTAGATCACACCAATATTTAAATTTAAAATAAATGGAGGCAAGGCTAGGCAGAGTGGCTCACACCTACAATCTCAGAACTTTGGAAGGCAGAGATGGATCACTTGAGCCCAGGAGTTTGAGACCAGCCTAGGTAACATAGTGAGACCCAGTCTCTACAAATAATTTTTTAAAAAATTAGCCAGGCGTAGTGGTGTGTGCCTGTAGTCCCAGCTACTCAGGAGGCTGAGGTGGGAGGATTGCTTGAGCCCAGGACGTTGAAGCTGCAGTGAGCTATGGTTGAGCCACCGTACAACCAGCCTGGGTGACAGAGCGAGACCCTGTCTCAAAAAAATAATAAAATAAAATTTTTAAAAAGGAAAAAAAAAGACTATCAAAGGAGTCTGAATCCAACTCTGAGCAGGTTCATAGACAGTGACAAAAATGATATCCTTCCTTGCCTGATGGGGTGGGGCCATGAAGAAAAAGAGACGCTTCAACAGTATTGATAGGTTGATGAGTTGATAACATTCTCCAGGGCATGATTTTATCTGGAAAAAGACATGAGAAAGAGAGGAGAGATTGACTAATTTAGAATCAGAATTTTTATAAGAAGAGAACATGCCAAAATATTAATAGCAGCTCTTTCTAGGGGAAAAGATTGTAGTAATATTGACTTTTAATTTGGGGATTTTCTTTTTTATCTTCAGTGAATCTAAATTTAGAATGAGATTGAAATTTTGACATTATATTTAAAAATAACACTGTAATTTCTATTTCTAATTATCATTTTGATAACTTGGTATGTCAGTCCAAAGACAATTCATGGAACTTTTTAAGATCTAACTACAATAATAGAGAGGTAGATAAAACTCTACAAGACAGAAGCTCATTAAAAGACATTATAGGGGCTGAGTGTGGTGGTTCGCAACTGTAATCCCAGCACTTTGGGAGGCCAAGGTGGGAGGACTGCTTGAGCCCAGGAGTTTGAGACTAGCCTGGACAACACAGCAAGAACCCCATATCCACAGAAAGTTTTAAAATTGAGCTGGGTATAGTGGTGCATGCCTGTAGTCCCAGCTACTCAGGAGGGTGAGGGAGGAGGACCATTTGCACCCAGAAGTTTGAGGCTGTAGTGAACTATGATTGCACACCACTGCATTCTAGCCTGGGTGACAGAATGAGACCCTGTCTCTAAGAAAAAAACCACCACTAACAAAAAAATGTTATAAACTCAATTTTATCAATTCCTATCACAATATACTATCATTCCATTCTGGAATCAATTTCTATCATAAGGAACTAGAAGAAATCCATTCCTACACCATAATGCACTGAGAAGCTTTTATTTAAAGGAAACCTGAGACATAAAACACATAACATAAAAATCACCCTTTATCTGCTTTGTGAAAGATATGTTAAGGATTTAGTAAAGTGGGTAAGTGATAATCTAGACCATGAGCCATGGAGACATAGATGTCAGCTGTTCATGATATTACACACCTCACTGTCTGATCTACAAAATCCTTTAAAGGTAAACCAAGAAATGTAAGATACAATAAGACTATTAGAAAGCAAAAGATGTATGGCCTACATAAGATCTTAAAGGCCAGGGACAAAAATACATAACAAATAGGTCATAATCATCTTATATGGAATACATAAAACACTTCAGAATTTAAAAGCAAAAAATGTTAATGTTAAAAAGATGAAATCATTATTAAATCATTTTCTCTGTGTACCCATTCATAAAACATGACTTCTTTTGCCAAAAGCATCTATCACTGTCAAATTCAAGTTCCTCTCAAATCATCTTGACTTAAAAAAATAAAATACAACAAAATCAAGGGTCAGCTTGTCTAAGGCATATTAGAGAGACAGAGGAGAGAGACCTCTTGGCCATCAATCATAAACCACTCTTATTTTCTACTTTGTATTCAATTTTAAATGTAATCTCAACCTAGTCTTTCCTTCCCAGAATAATTACTGAAATTACATAAAATCCTGAGAATATGAGAAAACATCCCCAGTTTCACACTAACAGTTTTTCAGTACATCCTTCTTAAAAGCATCAGCATTAATACAGGACAAAGACTGTCAAAACAATCTTGTTACTATGATATTTCTCCCGCTGATATTCACATTCTTAAAGATTATCATATCCCCAAAGGAACTGCATACAGAGTGGGTATTCTAGGCCTTGTAATTCTACGCACCAGATGAGCCACTATGGTGACATGGTGTGCACAGAGTTCAGCAGTCCCATATCTGCAATATAAAGAGAAGGCAACTGGGTTTATACAATTACTCAGAAACACAAGGAGATGAACTTGCATAAAGCACTAAATATTCTGATGAGGACATTAAAAACTGCCATTATTTCCATGACCAAATAGTATCACAATATACAAAATTCCCTAAACAGTACTCATCTATTGGCTTGAACCAAAGAAAGAAGAGAACTTGTTTCCTAATTTAATGCTGTAATATGAAATCAAAGCATTTTGGGAATTATTATTAAAGGATTATTGAAACATAGTTTTTCTATAAACTTACAATTATAAAATTATTTACTGTCAGTCACTACTAATAACCAATCCAAAGAAAAAGCAAATATGTTGTACCGAGCAAGGAAGCACCATGCATCCATAGCTAACAAAGAGGTGATCATATTAGCACTAAGTACAGCATTCAGCAGAGCAGCATCCTAATCAAAAACAGAAAAATTTATTTAAATACTAAAATTCACAATAATAGTATTATATTTCTCAAAATAAAACAAGAAAGCACTATCAGAATCCAAAGAACAGATCCTCAATGGGAAAGTTCTACTTTCTAGTATCTAAAAGGACACTGCCATTCCCTCAATATTTATTGAGCACCTACTATACATTAAGTACTGTGCTGTGCTATGGAGAGTTCAACATGGTTTTAAATGTGGTAACTCAATCACGAGGATCCACAAAGATTCTCTAAGTAGCCTGAAATATTCAAAACAACATATATAACATATATGCTTATACTCTTCTTTCTGCTTTTATTCACATACAATATTTAATAGGTTCTAGATATTATGTAATATCTGAAATGCTACTGATCCTTAAATTTCAGATATTACAAGTATCAAATTCCTAGAATTTCTTAACCTCTTTTCGAATCAAATTCTATTTTTTGAAAATCTACATTATATCTGAGATCTAAAAGAGCCCTGGTACTACAAGCTATTAATTTTTCTTTTGAAACTTACTTAAGTACCACATATTTTTTCCTCTTCTCACACTGTCTTTGCATACCTCCCCACCCAAAATATTTTCTCAAATATTTTAGCCAAATATTAAATCTATACAATATAGGAATCTAGGATTATCATTTTCTAGGATACAACTAAGTTTCATTCAAAATGAATACACGTTAAGTATTCCCACACTTTCTTCTGTATATGAATCACAATTTCAGTGAAGAGAAAGCAAAAATGTAACCTTAGCTTAGCACAGTAATATGC